TTAATGATTTTTATAATCTGTTAGTCCAGGATATTGCCTGACACCAGCCTCTTTTTAAGTTGCATTTACTTGGTGTGAGAATAAGAATAATGCATCTTTGATGAGAAAAATTTGAAAATGTTCCTTCCATCAGACTTATAGGATACTGAAATATCTGGAGAACATTGCTGTTAGATGTTGAGATGACAGAATTCATCAGTGAATTGTCCTGGTCAGTGTATGAGTCTTTCTTGATACTCAGTACTTTCAGAGTGTTTGTCTAGTTTTATTTCCTAGACTTTAATTTTCCTTTTGACTTATTATTTCCCTCCTTCTTGCATGTATTTTTATTTTTTATCAGGGGAAGGAGGGAATGGCCAGGGCTTACAGAAGGACAGTGATGCATGGACAGATATTTCTTTCAGACAAAAGGTCTTTAGTAAAGATGGTCTGGACACTATGTGGGTGTCTGAAGGAGTTTTATTCCCACCAGACAAAGTGTGTTTCCATTACCTTCATGGTGTCTGAGGGGAAAGGAGTTGCTTCAATATCAAGAAGCAGGCTTGGTTAATATGAGACCTATGCTAAATGACAGAGGATGGGATCTGGAATTTAGGCTACTTGAAGAGCTCATTGATTATATTCACAGGGTGGATGGGAGAGATATGTTCAATGTGTGACTGTGTGACAGCAATGAATCTGACTTGGCTTCTGGGAAAGTAACAGGAGTGGGGTTGGGAAGGATAGGAGCCCTCTCTGCTAAGGGCATTTTCCTGGGAACAAGAACGTGAATGGAAAAAAATTTAATAATTTAACAGAAAATAATTTTAAAAAATCACTGTGGATTTTTTCTGAGCCTTGATTGGTCCATAGCATGTGACATCACACGGAATCCTTGTGATGTATGCTAAATATTAGCCAATGAAAAGGCACTGCCTGAGGCTGGGTTTTGTCTGTACTTCGGAAAATCTGTTGGTTTGTGGGAGAGCAGTTGGACTCTGTTGTTTCCCATATACTTGACCTTTTCCCTGACCTGTTGGATCTGGACATAGTGAGTTTGATTCCCAAGTTCTCAGTTGGGGATTTTGTCACTTGTATTTAATTATTTCTTTATTTACATTATTGATTTGGGTTATTTTTTTCTGTAATTCCTTTTTCTTCATCTCAACTTATTTTCCTTCTATCACCTTCTTTTCTTTGTCATTTTTGGCAGTGTTCTTGTCTATTTTACAAATTTATTGTTATATATTAAATGCATAGGATGAGGAATTTGATCATGACTGATATATGGCTGTACTCTATTTTGATAATATTTATCAGCTACATTTTACTTCCAGACACATTGAATTGGACAAGTACTTTGTCAACGGGATGAGTCCCATT